AAATGGGGGAAATGCGCATTCTTTCATAAAAAAGGTTGGCTAGTCTTCAAAATTTCAGAAGCAGGTATACGACTTGTGGTCGGTAAAGCCGACGCAATTCAGAATCTCCCTCATCCGAAAGTTTTTTCCTAACTTCGTTCGTTTTTCGGCTCAAAAAAAACTAGATTTGAAGTTCGAGCCGATCCTAACTACGTTGTGTTCTCCATAATGACCCTTCTAAAAAAAGGGCTTGCCGGTGGGATTAAAATTATCTTTCGCTTTCGAAAAACTGAAATCAGAATTTTTAATATTACAGAAAAACAGTCACTTTGACATTAATTTAAAAAACGAGATTCAAAACTGATGCTTCGCACAGAAGAATAGGCGCGATTCTCGCACACTTTCATGGGGGTAGTGAAAAACAATCGCATTTGCCTCAAGATTTCTAAACGGTCACAAAAGGAATTATTCCAGCATCGAGTAAGAATTATTAAGTGTAGTGTGGGCCTCGGAAGATTTTAGAAATTACTTTTACGGTTTCGACGGCTTTTTTCTTGGCCTTTTCAGCCAATAAAAGCAACAAAATACTGCAAAGGAGACTAAACCGTTGTGTGATTGACATTTACTTTTTACTTTCATCTTTTCCCAATTTTCAGGAAAGTATTATAGTTTTATTGATCTCTTATCAGATTTCTTTCGGGCAAAGCCTTAAACCTCACATTATAACAAAAAAATTGATGTCGCCTCAATTGAAAAAAAATTGGGCTAGTTCATATAATACAACTTGTTTAAACCTGGTAATTAACAATGCTGTAGATGGAAAGTCGGTCACTGTACATTCTTTTGTTAACTGTGAACCCGTGTGGAGTGAAAAAAAATTAAGCGATCTGATTGGTCAAGATTTCGCGACAAGTTCACTAGCTTCATTAAAGCTCAAATTAATTGCTGATTTTGTCACGTGTATTGCTCAGTCAAAACATTTCTGCGTTAATTTGTGCGGAAAATAGTTCCCTACTATGTTTACCCCTGAAACATTCAAAATTCAAACTCAAATAATTTTCATTTTCCGATTAAATATTACTTCATTTCTTATTGGCGAACAAAAGGTCCAATCCCTCGCAAAAGAAGACCATCGGGTCAGATAAAGTGAGCACATCTTGCGGACCCTTAGTAATTATACCAAAAGAACATAAGATTGCCTTAAGATTCCTGGATGAGTTTTTACCGAATGATCGTGCATTCCTTTCAAAAAGATATATAGCCGGTTTGTCTGCAATCAAAAAAAAACCTCTAATTCTCGAAAACCCTTGCTCGAGAAATTTCTTACAAATTATGACCAAGGACGACAAAAACATCTGAGACCTAATAGCTACAATCAAAAACTTCCGGCCAATGGGGATACATAGAATACACATGAACAACTACGAAAAAACCTACATGTGAAAGATGAATTCCTCTCCATGGCCAATATGCCGGTCGAGCCAGCAGCCGTTTGCGGAGCCTTTAGCTCAAAATTTCTAGCCGAACATATCTAGTGGCCTCACATATATCAAGAGATATATCACTACAGAAAGTTTTGTAACCAGTGCCTAAAAGCCAGTAAGAACCTAAAAAAGTGTTAGGAATCGACCAGTAGGAAAAACTTCAAAACTTATTTTCTGCAAACGAAGAAACAATTTTGGACTTCACAGGACTGTTGGACGCTTTTTGAGGAACGAAGAAACACATAATTTTGTAAAATCGACCTTTTCATAAAATTTTCTTCCACCCCGGTGGCAAACAACACGACTATAAATTCTTTCGAATTATTTTCAATCTACTATTATCATCATCATGGATTTCCTAGAAAAAAAATCTAGTAGAACATGGATGCTTTCTGCCTCATTTCGCAAAAAATTCAACCTTGAAATCATTCATTGCACATTGAGAGATCATTGGTGTTACGGATGTGTAGAAAAAATGCATGTACTATAAAATCTAAATTTTTAGCCAATTCGTTTGATTTATCCAAAACTACTCTATATTGTTCAATCGAAAAAATAATTTAAAATGCGAGAATCACAAAAACAACCTTCAAACAGTTTAATTGAACCGCAGAAACCAGATGAAAAAAATTGTTTTTCATTGATAACTGTTTCGATAAAGGCATTTCGATCATTTCGCACCGGCGCACCAAAAACTTAGAGCTAGAATACGGTACAGAATACGGACACCAGGATGCATATTTAGACCACCAGAAGGAATCTGACGGTAACCCTCCACTTGTGTCAAATCGTGTCCGAATTACCCCTCGCTACCCCTATCTCAAGGAACAAAAAAAGTCTGCAAATCCTGAAAGAAGTTTGCTTCTGCAGATAAACTTTATAGAAAGGCGCCTAACAGAAAAAATGGAGAACCGATTTTTTTATCTTGGTGAAACAGAACGTCATCGACTCCTTAGACCACTCAATCACACTCGAGAACAATCTATTGAGATTCAGTCTACAAAGGCTTCCCGCCCTACTAAAACAACGACCACTAAGTTGAAGACGTCTTGAACAACAGTGCTTCTTTTTGTCAGGACGCAACGAATGTTTCCAACTGTGATTTAGTTTTCACAGTTGGCGAAATGACGGATCCCTTTCACGGTTCGACCAAGTGGACCCGCAGTAGCTTCTGCTCTTTAAGAACAATCGGACACTTCTTTCAGTAAGGGAACGGAAGGCAATTCGATCCACCTGGGTAATTCAACAGGAAAACCTTCAACGGTGGAACCCCAAGCGAGACTATCAAGAACTCGAAAACTTCGGTTTGACTGTGAGCAAATCTTCGCGAAAAGGTCTCAGAGAAGTTGTCTCAAGACCCGAAAATCATCGTACTAAACGAAGACCTCTTCAACTATCCACCGACAACATATTTATATAACGAATTATTGTCGGTCTTTTAATTTCCACTAGTAGATCTGATTAGTGGAACGAACGTTAGTTGCTGAAAACACACTAGCTTGGTCAGCGGATCCACACTCTAGCCGCAGCTAAGATTTTCATCAAAAAATCAAAATACCGACAATCTTATCTGTTTCAGATTCTTCAACGGTTGATACAGAGCTCAAAAAAGATTAAAGACTTTGATTTGAGTTTTAATTACAACTCGTCCATAATTAAAAAAAACTTCAATTTACTTGATACTGTTTTACCTTGTTGATTTTCTGGCATACGTGTTAGGAGAATAGATTTCGTAGATTATATTTGGTTTTATTATAAAATTTAGATCCTATAATTTATAAACTTTGTGGTTTCACCCGTTTTTAGATATTTCTGTAAGCTAAATTTTTTTTGTAGATTCATCATTTTCTCTCTGTCTAATTTCTTTAATTCTTGCGCCTTTTGTAATCTTGGTTCAACCTCCATCAGAGGGGGCAATTGGTTTATATAGAATCAGATTTATTTAATTGTAGATTTTAAAAAATTTCCCTCCCGGGAATGTTGTGATTTGCTTAATTACTATATTCAAAATGAATTCGGTATTGATTAGATACCAGTCAACTAACCACATAAATCGATCAACGGTTGATCATTCACTCTTCGTGTTTGTTTTAGAACAGAAATTTAGTTCAACACATCTTTTACTTCTTTTATTCTTCTAGTTAGTTGTACATAGTCTGTACAAACCTAGTTAGATTTTCTTGAAATTTTTTTAAAGTCAATATGTATATGATTACCGAAGCTTCTGACAAAAAAACATAACGTTTTTTGTTTAAAAAAATGTTGATGTTTCGAGTTTCTGAAAGGCCTCTATCGCAAAATCCAAGTCAAAATTTTGGTGAAAAAAAAAGCTTTTCAGGCTTCAGAAAAAATTATAACCAATAGCGTTCGCAATTTAACTACAATCTAGACCATTTCTTTGGGCTGAAAAAAAGTAGAATTTAACAAAACCTTTCTTGAAATCTCAAGAGCCTGAGTAGCATCGGTCGGTAGCTTTTATATGCTCAAGTTACCTCCTCAGAAAACTCAATTCGTATGATGCCGCTAAAGCTCTAGTTTTTAATAAAACCATTGATTTTTAGCGTGACTACTATTTTTGAATCTAAATGAATGAAATTAAGCTTACATTTCAAATTTTGCGTATTGATATCTCATCGAGTTTGACTATCTGTGAAGTTTACTTGATTTAAATTACACATCTATGATCTGAGCTTTTTATATCGATGTCCTCAGTGTCGGTTTTCTGGCATATCAAAAAAGATACTAAATTTTGAGAGAATCAAAAAATAAGCAAACTTTTTGTGGAGAAAGTCAGAGGAAAAATCTTATCAGTTATTTTCGCTTCAATGAGTGCTCGATTAATATAGGACTAGTGCTTAATTCTCAGCAGATATGAAACTATTTTTCAGCCACCAAGACAAAATAAACAAAACTTTGTTAAAAAAATTTTGTAAGATGATGTTTTTTCAATAAATGCAGATTAGTTTTAAACTTCTAAAATATCAATATTTCGTTTTAACGTAATTGTATGGAGCAGCTGTGCTAGGCTACTTGCTTACTCTTGTGTTTTTTCAGTCATACAATTGTTTCAGATCGATCTAACTAAAATTACAGCGCGTGCTTGTGTATTCCGGATTTTTATCCGCCTGAGCGGGAAATTAATTTGGTCCAAAAAAGAACCAAGATACAGTCTGAAAAGTTAATTTTTGGTTTTTAAATTAACTTTTAACGAAGTTTTGGTTTTTAAATTTGTATTAAAATTGTTTCCCTGTGTAATTGTTTGCCTAAACACATGCCTCTGAACGCCAAATAATTGTTAACTTTCCCTCGTGAAAACCTCCAAGCAGCCCCTCCTTTACCTGCTAGCTTTTCTCTTACAGGGTTTAATCAAAACAGATATTTCTATTTTTAAAAGATGCGAAAAATTACATAATTTGGCGGATTTTCAATCTACCAAACAGGTAAAAACTGCAAAGCGATTTAAAGTATCGCAATTAGATTCGTCTTATTAACCCTAAGACGACTCTAATTAGTATTCTCTGTCAACATTTTTAGAGACTTCAGGCAGTCCTTCTGGTTTTTCTCATAGCAATAAATTAACTAAAGTTTTCACGAAGGTTTCATAATTTTGCTTACCAGATACAGATCAACGTCTCAGTTTTTTCAGGTAACTTTTTTTTCATTAAAAAAAAACGCTATCCTCAGAGAGCATAAAAACTGGGTCGCTGTTTCATACGTTTCGAGAAAGACGTAGACCACTTGTTGTTTTCATTCACTTAATCGTCAGAAAATCTCTATTTAGAATAATTTTAGCCGTTATTCAATTCACGTTTTGTTTTCCTAACACAAAGTATGAGTTTTTGGGAAATCATCCTAGGAATCCCGTTCATTATTTACTCGTGATTAGGTTTTTGTTTCGAAACAATTCAAAACTTCTGTCTGAACTTTTAAAAACTAGCCGCTATTCAATTGCAACGTTTAATTCAAAAGTTTTCTGAAACACGCCTAACTCTCAGCTTCTACAGAGGCAATTTGAACAAAATGAGGACTTTAATTAGGAAATTTGAAAGAAAATGTGCAAATAAAGTGATAGTTTGTATTTGAATAATAAAATAACAGCACCAAGTTTTCATGCAAAAAAATTTTGCATAGATTTAACAAATTTTCCTAGAATCAAATACCTCCTTGCAATACAATTTTGATTCAATTCACATCTGGGGTTGATGTGCTTACTTTATGTTTCGACAATCTCAATGGAAACTTGATGTGTTTCAACCATCTCAGTCAATTCTCGGTTGGTTTTAAACGTCTCGATCAAGTTAAGGTTTAACATTTTGGTTCTTGAAACTTTTTTTTACCTAAAAATTTTTTAAACAAAACTGGCTACAATGAGTTGACGTATAAATGTAAGTAAGCGTCAGCTCGGTGTTGCCCTTCCTTTTGTAAATTGATTAATTTAATAGTTTTTCATTACTAAGACAGAGGATGAAACGAGCCGACAAAAAAGCCCTAAACAAGCAGCGCACAAATGACTTATAGAATGAGAATAAAATTTAAAAATTTTTCAAAACGAAAGCATTTTAAAAAACATCCATGCAAATTATGATCCTCACACTTTTAAAACCCCTCTTCTCTTTTTTGATTCCCAAGTTGATTATCACCGTAATAAGCCTCAACTACCCGCTTGTAACCCCTCTTCCATTCTTACCTTCTCCATAGCTTTGAAAAATTTTGAATAAATACGATCAAGTATTTGGAAAAACAAATTCTAAATTATAAAAACTTATTAAAAAAATGGTCGACCAAGAGCTCTTATAATGCCATACTGTCCATTACAATCAAGTTTTTTTACTTAAATTGAATTCAATTTTGTTTTTATCAATAAACAATTTTCAATACGTTTTAATAATTATTTGAGACAATTCATGAAAACCTGCTGTAAATCATCTCCAATCATGAGATATTTAATCAAGTGACCGGCCCGGATTGACAAAAGGGCTGGTCATACAAGGCTGAGTCATGGAGAAAAGCTTGTATCGAATTCCATAAAAATAAAAAAAAGCTATTTTTCCACAATGGAAATATATGACTAGCATTTTTCAATAAAAAAAAGAGGAAACAGCATTTTTCAATTTAAAAAAATGAGTAAACAGCATTTTTCTGTGTTGTCGCTAGAACTGATAGCGAGAAAAGCCGAGTTCGTAAACTAATAAATTTTCTGATGAACGAAGAACTGTGTGCGAATAAAGTCCACAACTGAAAGATCGAAAATTCTCAAGTTTGTCAGGCGCTTTCTCAAGTTCTTCAGGCTAAAATTGATTTATTAATGTTTTCACTTTTGCGTATTTTATGATATTGAACTCGCTTTTAAAATCCTAAGTTTATGGTAGTTCGTTATTTTTTGTTGACTTGTAATTTCCGATAGTTACGGTTAAATGACGTATGAAATGAAATGTGGCCGTTCAGCCAGTTACCTAAAACCGATCAACCTCAAAACCAAAACGAGGCAGAAATATGGTCAGCCGACCCGGACAGGAGCCGCTTCTAGATATGAGAGCTGACCCGGCTGACCTTGGAGCTCTCACCTCTTCTCGCTTTGTTGAGGAGCGAGGATGTTCTCGCTAAAATTCATAGCGAGAAAAGCCGAGGTCGTAACTAATGAGTTTTCTGGTGAAAGAAGAACAACGTGTGAATAAAGTCGACAACTGAAAGATCAAAACAAAGTTCTCAAGTTTTTCAGGCGCTGTTTTAAAAATGATTCATTAATGTTTTACTTATATCTACCTCAAAACCGAAACGAGGCAGAAATAATCTGTAAGTCGGATTGTATGAAGTGTGTGTTCATAGTTTGAATCAATTTTTTGTTTGTTTTGCTTGATTTGCTTGTGTTTTACCACAAAACAAAAACATCAAATAGGCTCTCAATTGAGATAAAAAACCGTTAAAATGGCACCAAAAATCGAAGATTAAACTAAGTATTGAGATATGTCAAACAAATTAAACTTCTTTTCTTTCACACCCAAAAACAAGCTGAAATAAAAGTTTTTGGAAGTGGCTATGAGGTTTTGTTCAAAAAAATCCCCCATAGATTGAAATTGCGGCCTAATTTTTGATCATAATAAGATTCACAGTTAATTGTCTACTAAAAGAAGCAATCAAGTTTTAGATATTACAGGATCAATTTGTTGGGATTTTTAGATTTGTTCATTAGGTAAAAACATTGGGTCTGGACTGTGTTACAAGCAAAATTTGAAAAATTTGGTGGCAAAAATTGTTTTCGGAAAATTTGTATATTCATACAGCCGGCTTAGCGACTAAGAGAAGATAAAAACCTACATGTGTCTTTTATGAAAATTGTTTGAAAATCATTTTCGGACACACTAAAAAATCAAACTTCCGATAAGCTAAAGGGCTCTAATTCAGCAGAAGGGCTCTAAACTAGCTAGTTTTTTGAAAATACTTAAAATAATTTTGCAGAATTTTCCAAGCTCCCTGCTTGTTCTGCATTTTGAAAAAAAAGAAATTGTATTACCAGCATTTTGTTGCATGGTGGTCAACGCCGGCGGGTTTTACTTTTCGTCATATAACTTGAAAAGGAATTATTTTCATTTTCAAAATTCAGCACAGTGTTTACTTTGCAACGTTTTCACTTCTCTTTGTCCTCCTGGTGCAAAATCCATCTGGTTGTTTTTATAAAATATATTTTGAAATCGGAAACTATATATTTTGAAATCGGAGTAAAAATTTTTTGTAGCGTTTTTTGATGCAAAAAAGGTATCATCTTCAAAATGTTTTTGAGAACAGCCTATAATTTTGAAGACTTTTTTGCAGCTCGCTGTCTTCGAAAAATACTTCAAACCAAAAAAAAAGAAGTTTTTACACAAGCTTGAGTAAAAAGCTTTTGTAGCGTTTTTTGGTGCAAAAAAGGTATCATCTTCAAAATGTTTTTGAGCAAAGCCTATAATTTTGAAGCCTTTTTTGCAACTCACTGTCTTCAAAAACAACTTCAACCAAAACAAAGTAGTGAAACGCTCAAATCAGAATTTTTAAAGCCTCGACAATTCTAAGTAATGTTTTTGAAAGTTTTGGTATTGAAACTCTATTCAATAAAGTTTTACTAAAAATTGCGGCAATGAGTTAACGAAGGCATGTAAAAGTCAGCTCACTCATTCTTTTTCTGTTTTTATTAGTTAAACTGAATAGGTTATGCACAACTAAGACAAAAGACGGAACGAGCTGCAGATCACAAAACAAGCCGTATCATCCATCGTAGAAATAAACATCGTAGAAAAGAACGTTAAGAATGAGGATAAAATAAAAACAAGACTGCTCGTATCAAAGCGAAGCCCTGAACGTTTTGATTGACTTTCAGGAACTATTCCCGCAAAATTTTGTGCGTTAATTGTCCCAAATTGGTCAAATTGGCAATTTTTAAACCTCCAAAACTTTACAAAAAGATCGCAGGTGAAATATCTTTTCAAAATTAAGCTCAAGACAACAAAACTTTTTAAATGATATTAACAAAATTTGAACAAAAATGGCTCGTTGGAAAGTCGCAACTTGTCTGAAGAAAAAACCACCCCGAGCACAAATAATTTTCCTTTACTTTAGTTAGGAAAGTCGGAACAAAAACGGTTTCAAATCAAAAGCAAATGCGACTTAGAAAAATGGATTGATTCCCAAAAACCATATACAAGACTGCTCGTATCAGGCCGAATGTTCCGACTGCCTTTTAAGGTCTATGGAGCAGTAGTAACATGAAAAACTTAATTACAATAAAAATATTTTGAATTTTTTTAATTTGCAGCTTAATTTGTGAAAAGCCTCCCCCACTCGCCATATAAAATGCCAATTGATAATTTTTTCTCGTAGTAACATATCAATTACAGCAAATAATCTTCCTTCAACCAATTTGGAACGATTTCTCAGACTGATTAAACCACCGCTTACGCGCTCTTAGCGCAAAATAGATCGGGCATTAATTGTCCCAATTTGGCCCAAATAGCAATCTTTAAACCGCCATGTTTTTTTTACAAAAAACGATTACAGGTGAAATACTTACAAATTACAAAAAATGATCACAGGATCACTAGTTAAAAAGTCACAAAGAAAACGTACAGAGCAAAAGTATTTCGTTAACTTCGTTACCAAAGTCGGATCAATAAGCTATTACGAGAAGAAGAAATAAGTTCAACCGCGTATCAAAAGTGGCACAAAAATTGCTTTTTTCAAAACTTGTAACATGAACATTCTGTTCCTATAGAGGTCAACGCGTGCGGATTTTGATTACAGTCTCTGTATTTAACTTTCTCTGCAATATAAAAGAGACAAAGCTCAGATGTAATTTTTTCTTTGAAAAAATTGTGGTGGAGATCGAGATATTTTCAAGAATTTTTGGTACTTGCCTGAATAATTTATTTTTGGTGCTTTTTGGAATTTTTAAATATCCTATTGTTAGTTTTAGACTGGTACTGGTACATTGAGACTGGTACACTGAGACTGGTACATTTGGTACCCCTGCCACTCCCAAATCTCTCCGCCACTCCTTCCCCCTTATACCCCCCCCCCCCCTATTTGGGTGTATAAACTAAAATTTTTTTCTCGAAATGTGGTGAGGGAAGACCTGGGACATGCATAAACGTCTTCCTCGCCATATTCCCCCGTAAAATCAATCCCCAAACACCCCCCCCCCCCCCCCCCCCCGCAGTAAGCCGGGTGCGTAGTGGGCGAATGAGAGTTTTTTCATGGCGATGGTAGTGAAATAACAGTTGAATAAAATGTTTAACTGCCAAATTGAAAAAACAGAGAAACTCAAATGTATGAAACCTCGTTTAAAAAATTTTAATTTGTGAAACTTAACCCGTAGCAACTTCCTTAAACAGGAAGTAGAATAACTTGCAAAATTTGCATAATCACCAATAGTTTCTCAAAAAATCCATTATAATTGATTATAATTGATTCTCGTTTATAAAATTTAAATTTGTGAAACGTAACCCGTAGCAACTGCCTTAAACAGGAAGTAGAATAACTTGCAAAATTTGCATAATCACCAATAATTTCTCAAAAAATCCATTCTAATTGTTTATAATTGATTATAATGGTTGATATTGATTAAAAACAAAGTGTTTATGATCCGTTTTAATGGATTATAATCGATTACTTCTGTACTTTATGGACACTGACTATAAAATGACTATATAATCGATTATTGTCGATGAAACTTCAGTGCGGTTATAAAATTATCTTGAGCCGAGAAGTATTTGGAAAAGTTATTTTTGCAGCTCACTCCCTTTAACAATAACTGTGGAAAATTGATTAAAGTACCTTACAAATTTGAATGATGTACGATGAAAAAAAGGCCTTAAAATTCTATACGGTTATAAGATTTGTTGGGGGATAGTTTATAGGATAGTCAAGGCTGGCATTAAATGAAGCTATAATTCGGAAGATCACTGTTTCTGATTTTTTTTCCAAGAACTTCGAAAGTTTATTGACAGTTTCATCGTTTTAGATCTCAGACATGACGAAAGGAGACCAGCAATCAAGCTCAGGACAACAACATCAAACCGAAGGTGAAATTGAAATTAGTTCACATAATTCAGCGCAACTTATTTTTCATTGGCCTTCAATTTTTCAAATTGAATGTTTTCAGAATCTGCGACAACTGACATGGAATTTGCGAACTCTGTTCCGTCTTCTGCATCTGGTAAAAGCTCATTTCGTCGAGTGTCATTGTTCCTCGTTGGCAGTCTGCTGGTCGTAACTGTCGTCGGGGCGACCGCTGGAACTTTTTTTGGAGTTGATCCCCTGGATGTTGTTGATGATGGGGAAAATGGCGAGTTGAGTGAAAATATATCTGGAAATGCAAGCGGGTTATTCGCTAAAAATGCAATTCAGAAAAAAAAGATTTTGACTTAATGAGCTAAAGTTTCGTCTAAAATTTTGTAGATAGAAAAATGATCAATTCCTTGGTATGGAGAAAAACTTTCAGATTAGGCCACCTTCAAAATCCTGCAATTTGTTCAGTTTCAAATTTTTAAATGAAATTAGCCATAAAATTATCATAGAAGCAAAGCAGGCATTGCAAGTTTTTGCCTAAACCAGTTCGGGAGAAAAAAATCGAATTTTGTTTTGATTTTTATTTTTTTTTGATATCCACGTGAATCTGCACTACAGAAAAAAAATGCGCGAGATTTTTGGATAGGAGTCAAAAGGTAGTATCAAAAATAGCGGCATTTTTGAAGCAATTAGAGACAGAAAATTGAGCTCATGATAATCTAAATACAACTGTAATTTTTCTAAAACCTAGAGCCTTCAAAAACTTTTAACGTATATAATATAAAAAATTTAACCTTACCTTGAAAATTCAGCCATGATTAGCTAATCCCGTTGGCCTAGAAAAAATTTATTGTTTTGCTTAAAAAAGTTTTCATTATGAGGCCAAACTGTTTATTTTGTGAATTGTACGCGAATTCCGCAAAAATCAGATTCGTCGCGGAATCCGCAACATTGCTAATTTTTTTTGATCTTCTCTGTTGTTTTGGGTTCCACGGACAAATAGCTAAAACACTGTATTGCTCGAAAACAGGCAACTTTGCGGAATCTGCAACAAAATATGTGGAACCCGGAATCAATTTGTGGAATCCATGAACTAATAATAATAGTAAATTCAGTAAATTGAAGCTGTCGCGGAATATGCGATTGTGAGTGGAATCCGCAAACTTTAGCGGAATTCCGCAATTTGAAAGCAGATTCACAAATTGTAAGCGGAATCCGCAAATTGTAAGCGGAACCCGCATAATTTTGCGGATTCCACTTACATTTGTCAAATCGGCAATTTCCACTTACATTTGGCAATTTGCGGAATCCGGAACAGCTATCTATATTCGCTCGTTGCGGAATCCGCAAGAAAATCCATGTGCCGACAAAAATTACGTTTCAGGTATTTGTACGCGGAATCCACTGAAACTTTTGTAAGTGGATTTAACCTGCATTTTGGAACACGTTTACAGACTTGTCTCTGGAAACCGGGAACATACAGACACAAAATTGTGCGCCTATCCAGTGCATAGTTTGGCCTCGTAGTGTTGAACATGTCGGATAGAAATCTCATTAAATATTGTTCATGTTGTGACAACTTGTGATCTCAAAAACAAAAAGTTAAGAGCTCATTTTGAGCCTTAAGAACCTGAAATATAAAAAAGTTTGAGTCACTTACATTTAAGAAACAAACTTTTCATGTAAGGCTACTTCTTTTTCTCCTTCTTCAATGAAAAATCAGAGAACACATATATTCTTGGGAACAGTTGAAAACCAATTTTAAGTGCTTGCGTAGTTCGAAACTGTTTCAAAAAAATTCTCAGACAAGGGAAAAACCGGGTTAGCTATTCAGCAACTTTAGCAAGGGCGGATTTAGGGGGGCATGATTCGACCCCCTGCTTCTCAGGGATTCGACCCCCTGCCGACTCAAAAGGTCCCCCCTTTGTTTTATTTTGATATATCCAGTTTTAGTGACGGAGCCAAAAAGTTTTCAAAGGCGCCTTTGACACCAATATATTCTAAATTTGAGGGGGGAGCGCGCGCCGAAAAAATGCAATTTTTTGGTCAAAAAGTCCTTTTTTGGCCTGTTTTTTCATATATTTGCCTGCGGTTCAGATATTTTAGCCAAAACAGGGACTTTTTAGTGCATTGGGAGAGCTCGAAACATCCTTTTGGTCTACCTAAAAAAAGATCAACAGAATTTTCGAAAATTTTTGAAAATCTCCCCTCGAGAAAATCCTAGATACACCCCTTAACTCTAGTTCAAATTTTTTGCGCGCATTGGAAATTTGTACAAAAACTGCAAAAAAAATTTCAATTAAAACTAGAGAAAAAAAAATGGTTTTTAAAGGTTTTTTGTTCTTATTTCGGGTTTTCTACCATTAATTGAGGTACTTTCAATCTACGGGCAAAAACCATCGTAATAGTCACGAACATATTTATTGTTTTTCAACCCAATTGTTTCGCTTTTTTGTTTTTTATGTCTTTAGTTGTTTTAGACTTTCTCTAGCACACATTGTGTCTATTATCATTGATCTCTTTTCGAAAAAGAACAATACAAAATTCAACAAAAAAAAGTTTATTTTTTGTCTTTTTCATCTGCTTTTTGACTTTGATTACTTCAATTCTTGTACTCAACAAAAATTGCCCTGACTATTCAATCAACTATCTGTGTTGTTAATTAAATTAGCTGAAATGAAAACTGAAAATGAAAAATTAAAATTGCGCGTTTTGTTTAAAACTTTTGCAAAAACAGTAAAAGAACTGAATTGTACGTCAAAACCTTCTGCTGACAGTTATGACAACTACACAACGACCGGCGATTATCTTTACTCCACAACTCAGGTTTCTCATCTTATTGAAATTATTCTTTACTAAAACTTCTAATTTATGCTTTTCAAAATATTCTTGTTACTTTAATTTTTGAAACCTCAGAAAAAACAGGACAAACTAAAAGTCTCTTTTATAAGCGTGTATGTAGTATAAGAGTAACCTTTGTTTATTTTTTGCAATAAAAATCGCAACAAAATTATCTCAAATAATGAATAAACTAATTGGAGTTTCATTGAGATTTCGTGAAATAATTGAGAAGGATCTTAATTCTAGTTAACGATGTTAATTCAACGATGTTAGTTCGAAAGAGTTGGCAAAAATTCATTTTCTTATTATGGTTGATCGAATTTGGCTAACATTATATAGTTGCAGGTCACGGGCTTAATTTAGTCTAAATAACAAATAGTAGTTTTAAACGCGTTAAAAAGGCGTTCACCGAGAAAGGTCGAAGAAAGAAAAACCAAACAAAAAAAACAAAATAGATACTAATTGGGTTTGAATAATTTAACTTTTTGATGCTCTTGCAGCGTCCGACCCTATTAAAAATTATCAAACAGATGATTTCAGAAAAAAAATGAAGTTTTTCGATTTTCGGTTTAATTTCGAGAAAAAGAGCGAGCGAGCCAATCAATTATACAAAAACAGATTAAAAATCGATAAACAGAAAACATATATAAAAATTTGTTTCAAATATTTGAAAAATATTTTTGAAGTTTCTCTTGGCGTTTTTAACAACATCAAAATCGTAGAAATAAATCAGATAAACCTGAAGAAAAAATACGGAAATGTTTTGACTTCTAATTCTTTTCTATTCAATTTTGAGAAACACTGTTGTCAAATTTGGGCTTTTTCCCATTTGAGTTAGGACCGAAGTGTATAACTCATAGAGTAATTTCGGATAGGGTACACCGTCTGCTCGTCACGCTATCTTATTTTCGGCCGGATAGATTCGTGCAACTTCTTAGTCTAATACCGATCCTAATCTTACTCTTATACTATCTAGTCTCAGGTTGTTTAACTAGTCTCTGCTAGGCTCAATAGATCTAGGGTATACTGGTTTATTGCGGCTGCTGAAGTCTTCTTGGAGAGTCAACTAATTTCTAAGTTAAATTCAAATCTCTCTGGTGCTGAAATTACAAGTAATTTCAGCACTTACAAATAAGTGGATTGTTAGTCAGATGGATCATGATTGGTTAATATTAAATACTTTACATTGGTAAAATATCTAATTTATCCAATCATAAAATGTAGTTTAGATCAGGTTCCACCCATCCGGGTTTTGCAGAGTTTTTTAGAATAGTCTTTCTGTAATTCAAAGGATGGATGATGGACGTTGGTGTTTGGCGAACATCATATTTCTTCTGGGTTCTCTTGTTAGAGAAGTTCCAGGTTCGATCGTTGTGTCATCTCATGACAACGACTGGGTTTTCGCAACAAACTCAAATCTGATTTCAGAATGGTTGGCTATGTCAGGTTTTTCTATTTCATTGATGAGAACTTCTTTGTGTTTTGATCTTGTCTGGGAATGGCGTGGAGATTGTGCGTGGAGGGGATGCCTGGTTACTCGGATCTGTACGTATACTTGAACATCGAGGTGGTCATTGGTCTAGTTCAATGAAGTCCTTTTCTGCGAAGTCAAGTCGTACTCTAAATCCTTTGAGTTGTGATTGTGGGCGGCATATTGATTGCGGTTGGCCATTCTTTTTCGAGTGTAGTGGGTTCATTTTGTATTTGGATGTTCGTCTTTGGTGTTGTATGCTGATCTATATATTGCATAATATAATTTACATTTTATAAAACTTTTATTAGTTTAATGTTTTTTAATTATGATTTTGGTTAGTTGTTTTCACAAAAGCTTTTTGTTTTAGTTCAGTTATTTTGAAGAGTTACTCACCCTTGAGTAGCTCTTATTAAAAATAGGAGTGTGTGTCACAAAGCGTGGATGTAGCGCGGTGGGTTAGGCCGGCTATAGAGCATGCTCAGGACGTCCTCTTCTGGTGGGTTAGGCCAGGAGTGGGAGTATGATTGCATGCGGTTTTTGTGAGAGGTCCTGTTATGTGACAACGTTTTATGTTGGGTTTGTTGTGGTTTTTCTTATGTTTTGTTGGTTGTGTCCTTTTTTCAAAAATCAAATTGTTTGTGGTATGGGTTTGTCTTTCGACTTTTTTGTGTGTTTTATTATTTCTTTCTTAGACTTTATAATAGTCTTCAAAAGAATAAATTATCCAGTTTTAAACTGGGTTAATCCGGTTTGGGTACCGTTGGTTTCCTTTTCTTAGTCATGCTGTTATGCTATGTGTTGTGGTGTTTAGTAAGCTGCATTGGTTAGTTTTGTTTAGTATATAATTCCTTTCCAACCGGGTTAAAGGAAAGTTTGAAACTTGTTATCGTGTGTTAGAATTGTTGAGTGTGAAAGCTTGAAACTGAAATTCATTATTTAAACAATTCTTCGTGGGCGAGCTGTGCAAATTTGGATAGAATTCTTGTGCGATTGAATGAAAATATCAAAAGGTTAGTACTGCATTTGTTTCTTATTAATTTACTACATAGAATTTCAATTTTACTGCTAGTTGTTGGGGAAAATTAAGTTACAAATTTTCATCATTATTAGATTTACTGCATTTGGGAAAAAATTTATAAATTAAATTATTGCATTGGTATTATTTTTATTTAATTATTTGGTGCAAAAAATTAATAGAGTTTTAAACAGTTTGAAGAAGTTTTTAATTTTTATTTTCTTTTGTGAATTTTTCAGATGGTCGTTGATTGAAGGCTAAAATTCTAAAGAAAACATGAATAAAGAATGGTTAGTTTCTAATTTTAATAACTAGTTAATAATATGTATAGTCCATACTTACCTGTTAGTCGTCGGGGAAGAAACCGTGGGGGAAGATGTCGTGGATGAGATCTGAAGTTGTTAGTAATTTAGCTAGGATGCGGATGATATTTTTAGTTTGAAGCAGTGGCCAAAGCAATTGAAGTGCTTTAATGGTGGTTAGTTCTTCAGTGCCAACTGCAAACTCATAAGGTGTGTTTTGGATTAGATTATATAATTTGTGATTGAATTTAGTGTTGTGGATGAATTCTAAAATGGGGATTTCTATAGGTTGAACAAATTCGTGTGGGAGAAGAAAGGGTCGGGATTCTTCTGCGTTGAAGGTCTTGGTGATGGGACAAAAAATATACATTTGGGTTATGGGATCATAATTTCGAAGAATACCATGAAAGTTAGTATCTTTAATGCAATATGTGAAGTTAAGAAAGAATGGTGAGGTGTATTTGGAATTGATGAATTGAAAACGGTGGTGTGGTTGTCTGGAGGGGGTGTGTAGGTCGAAGTGATTTTGGATAAAACGATAATATGTATATGTGTGAGTTTGTTTAGTGCGCAACATAATATCGTGTGAGCAGTGCAAATCTCTTTCATGTGGTGCAAGGAAATGAAAGGTTAGTGAAAATATTTGGAAGCGTTCTTTAAAACTTTCGTAAGCTTGTGTGTCTGTTAGTGCTTCTGAAATGATGTGGTCAAATTTGCGATTAAATATATTGAGTGTAAATACATATGGTGTTTTAATGAAAAATTTTTCTGTGATTTGTGGGTTAGCGAAGCGGTCGTCGTCTAAGAATTGATCTTGGTTAGTTCTGATGATGTTATGATCGTAATATTCTAGCGTATATTCGTTAGCTCGGGGTGCAGTGTATGTTTTTAGTGATTTCCGATGTAAGTAAATTGTCTAGGTGTTAGTGGTGTAGTGAGTCGATATAGCATGTCCTTATTTCGTTCTATATCGATGTGAGTGTTAGATAAAGGTAAGCAAAGGGGATTAGTAAAATGATAATATGAGGTCCAAGGAAGGGTAGGCATTAAAACGTGTTCGTTTACAAAGTTACGTGTCTCGTTAGTGTCGTGAGGGGTGTATTGTGGAAATGAGGGTAAGGTGATAGCTAAAAATTCTTTTGTATTAGTGTGATTTGGGTGATTTATATATTCACGGGCTGTTCCTGGTTTTGCTGGGAAAGGATGGTTGGGGAACTTTCTTTTAAAAGTGCGGTAAGCTCTATTAGTGCTGAGTGAAGATTCAGTAGATGTGGATGATGGTGCTAATGATTCGGTATAAATTGAAGAGGGTGTAGGGGTAGGAGGGTTGGATAAATCTATTGTGGATGAAATTTGGTTTATGGTGGGGGTATCAAGGTGGTAGGGTTGTTGTTGTAATGTAATAAAATTATCTAGTTCTTGGGAGATTTGGGGGGTATCTGGAGAATTGGATGATCGGTCTGAATGATGTGAAGAATAGGTTGGAGTGACTTGGGAAGCATAAGAGGGTGTAGAATTGGTGGGGACGGGGTTATTTGGTAGCATTGGTTGAAAAGGGGGGTGGGAAAAAATTGAGGGGTTGGTGTGAAAATTATTGGATGGAGATGGTTCAGAGTCGGCAAATTCATCGGGGGTTTCAATATTCGGGTTATTGAGTTGTGATGTGCAATATAAAACTGAGATGTGTGAATTAGTATCGGAATTCATGCCTGATGTTTCATTACTGGTTGGGAAATCGGGTGGTGGGAAAGCAAAAAGTGGTATTATTGTAATTGGAGTAGTGAGGTTGGTTGGGTGGGAATTTGAACGGTGTAGGGATCCAAATTGTCGGCTCATCGTGGGCTAAAAAAATTATTATTTTGAGACTGAAAAGCGGTGGTATGGGGTTGTTCTATAATTTGTTCATAAGTATTTTCATCTTGTGAGTGGCGTGTGATTATATGTTGGATGGGACTTTGTGATATGGTTGGTCTAAAATTTGGATTATGTGTTATTGCCAAGTTTCGAAAATTACGTGGGACTAGGGATAATGGATGGTTATGTGGTAGGGGTGGTAACTGTGGTGCTGTTGGCGTTGTGTCTACATTGTTATGTTCTTCGTCGTATGTGTTCTGTCTTGTTACTATTTTTGTGTTGTATTCTTTTATTTGTGCATCTAAAAGAATTTTGTTTATTGATGTAGAAAAAATTCCAA